GGGTATTAGCTACTGATATTTTCTGCCTGTCTGGGAATGTCTGGCCCTCCAACTTCCTGAAGCATGCATCTTAAGTTCTTCGGAGACCCTCCCTACTTCACTTATGGTTTTTACTATGTAAACCACTATCGTATAGAACCCCAAACTCAACCCTTTTTCCACCTTTTTTCTATCATCTCTAGTCTATGCTAATTCCTCCCAATCTAGACCTCCATCGCAATCAGATCTGAGAGGCAAAGGACACCCCCACGGGCAACTCAACCCAAACTTGAACTCACCGTATCAAGCCCCTCCACCTCCACCGTCCAAATCTATTCTGCCTTCTAAATTCAGGATCTCAGAGACATAAACAACCAGCGGAAAGTAACCTCCGAGAGCCTCTATGCACTTCCTCCGCCATCCCCCATATCTCATCGGGTACCACCATACGCACGCCTGCCCCCGGAAGCAGTCATCACCTACACTCTGTCCGCACTGCAATGCCTTGGATCAGGTCCTGGTCTTTTCTCCTGGATTCTGCACTGATCCCATCATTTGACCTCCCTGCCTCCAGCCTGAACAGCCTCCATTCCATTGTCCCAGCCACTATCCCGGGACCTGTCACCAAAAGCAAGTCTTTGTGCCTATACTGCTTTCACAAGGGAGTCCACACGCAAATGGACTAGACGGAATGACCTTCGGAAGTGTGGCTTTGACTGCCTCCTAAGCTTCCTCTATTCTCCCCCACCACTCCCTCCCAAACCCCTGGCAACACCAGGCTCCCTCTGACTTTGCACACGTGCTCCACTGGACTCTCATTCTTCCCCCAAGTCTTTGCCTGCCTTACATATTCTTACTGGCCTTTCACAGTTCAGCTCAGAGGCCACCTCTTCAAGGGCTCTTCTCTGGACACAAGGCACTGGGTGAACCATTCACATTCCTGTCATAGCATCTGTAGGCTACTTCCCACTAACTTTTCTCTGGATTCCTTTCCCTTGGCTTTCCCAGTGCCCAGCACAACATGTGGCACCTAGTAAACACTAAGCATCTGTTAAGTAGATGAAATAATCTCCAATTTAACATCACTCCCCACTTCTCTAGGCTCTTCCCTTCTCATCACCGTAACCTCCGTCTACCTGTTCTTCCCGATCCTGAACACTATTTTAGCCTCTAAAAAAAGAATCTGCCTCCAAAATCTATCTCCTTCAATGCTTTGATATTGCTTAAGTATTTTCACTTCCTTAAAAGGCAGAAGAGCTGAATAATAACTTCAAATATTAAAACAGCACCAATATTTTGGCAGTCAATAAATCAGACAAATTATAATTAAGTTGTTTGCACAACTAAGATTTCAACAAAGATCTTTGGTACCACTTTCCAAAATTTTGATTCTATTATTGTTTGGTGATTTACTGAACCTGAAGACAAATGCAAAAATTAAACTGCCAAATGTTTCTGAAGAGATTAAAAATAACTGCTGTAGGAAACAAAGGAGATTTTACCACTAGCAGTTTTTTGTTTCCACTTTTGGCTAATTCCTATTAGTTCTGGGTTATAAAGCATGTCATCCTGTTAGTGAGTGGTCTATTATCACGATCATCTCTCATGTGTCTTTAGATAATGTTCCTACACTCTTCTACTTGAGAAGTCTTAACTGCCACTGACAAGACTTGATCTTTTTTTGTGCGAGCTATGACGAGCTGAATTCATTTTCACTGAAACTTCTAATTCTCAGGTACTTACCATACAACCCAGCCATCCCACTCCGAAGTATTTACCAAAGAGACATAAGAACTTATGTTCAAACAAAACAGCAGCTTTGTTCACAATCTCCAAAAATAGGAAAAAACCTACTGTCATTCAACTGGTGAATGGAGAAAAAGCTGAGGTACATCCATACAGTGGCCTACAACTTGGCAATAAAGAGGAACCATGTATGGATACATACAGTAATATGGATGAATCTCAAATATTTGTATGACATTCTGGAAAAGACATAGATTCAGGAACAGAACTATGTGGCTGAGAGGAGGCTGGGGTGGGGATAAGAGTCTGACTGCAAAGGGAAAACAGGAAAATTCTGGGGACAATGGAACTATTCCTTATTGATGGACTGTGGTGGCGGAAACAACACAGTGCAATACGTTTGTCAAACCCAGAGAACTGTACACCACGGAGTAAATTTTACTGTATGTCAATTTAAAAATTTTTTTATTAATTATTTAATCATAGCTCGGTTAAAGATCATCCCCTAAATATAATTAACACAAAGCTGTAGTGGATTTCCTTCATGTTTAGAGTAGCTGCTGTTATTGTTTTGTTGTTACTGAATTGTATTAATTAAGAAAAGATTTTGGTGCAATGAGGCAGAAGTAACCCCAGATCTTTTCCAGATACTTCCAGTTTCCCTTGTATTGGCAACCTCTGCCCCAGCCGTGCACAGCCAGGTGGAGTTCTACCAAGGACATGGGGAAGGTTATTCAAAATCAACAGAAGACAGACTATGCCCCACAGCAATGCCCAAGAAAGCATTTCACGGGAAGAAATAAAGGGGTTGGGAGACTAGAAATCCTAAAATTCTAACCCCTCCTGGTGAAACGTATAAGCAGAAAATGCCATTCCCCTGTTGGATGCCTCCTTCCTAGACCCTCCTTTAAAAAGGAGTCAAGGTGGGTGGGGGTGGGGAATCTCTTTGTGACAAAAGAGAGCTAGCAAAGGCCTCCAGAACCAGAAGGCTGAGTTCTAAAAGCCCTGGATCCCATGTTCCTTCACATGGAAAACATGATTCTAAGTAGGCTAATGACAAAAACAAGCAAAGGTTCAACAGCCAGTGACACTTTCTTTCCAGTGTACCCTCTTCAGCCAAACCCACGCATTCCTCTCCTCCAGAGGAGATGGCCGCCTTGGGGACTGCTGCAGGCAATCCCGACCAGGCCCTGGGCTCCGGGCTCCAGGTGTGGCTGCCTCCAAGGCAACAGGGACAGCAACACGCAGGCCTCGGCCTCAAGTATAGACGCCATCCTGTTCCCTCCTGGCTCTTCCAGGAAAGCGAATGCTAATGCTGTGGCTGTTCTGCACAGTCACATTCGCATTCCCAAGCCGGGAACACTCTGATCCTCTCTCCCGGGGACCTGAGCTGCCACATTGTTACACCTCAGCAGGAGCTCGCCACCTGAGACAGACCTCCATCCAAGATGAGCTCCCTGATTGCCGCCCTGGAGAACCAGCTCTCCAACCTCACACGGCATCTGCAGCTGGAAAGACCGGCCTAAATGCAAAACAAATGCTATTTTCCAGGAGCCTTCTGGGGGAGGGGGAGGAACAAAGCTAAAAGCCACAGACAGAGTAAACCAGAACATTCTGTGACATGCAATGCTTTACAAAAAGGGCTTTTAGACATATTACCAAGAAAGAGTCCGTGTAAGGGGTCAGCTGTCAAAGTTACATAAAAATCACTGGCTTTCTAAAGACAGGAGTGAAGGACTAAATTATAAAACAGCTTATTGTAGCAGCTAATTAAGGTTTATCATATTAGCCATCTGAGTTTTAGTTGGCACCAAAAAAGCAGGAGAAGCACATCGTGCAACATGGACCAGGATCTGCTTTGCAAGCAGATTTCTGCCCACACTCAGACACAGCACCTCTGGCAGTCCAAACCATTGCAGAATTGAAAACCAATTTCAGCACAGTGATTTGTAAAGAATTTTGTTCCATCACATAAGCTATTTACTGGTCTATCAGTCTGAGATTACATTTATCTCTATTAAATACTACACAAAGTGCTCTGAACTGACCATGCACTCCTGTTTCCCTTTGCCTGTTTTCTCACAAACTGGAAGCTCTGCAAGCGTACGAAAAAATTTTGAACAACAAAAACCCTTGCATACTTGACACCCTCCAGGGCAGATATTCTGCCCACAAACTGCCAGCACACAACCCATTCTAAGATCCTCGGCATTTCTGAAAAGATTCTGCTCTGCTAACCGCAAAGAGGAACAAAATACTCTCTTCAAAGTAGGGGAGGAATTTATTTTCAATCATGTCTTGTATGGGCTCCCCTTGACTGTACGTTTACCAAACCAGAAGACGGAACCAGTTCTATCTGTTGATGACATCATATTGGATGTGATTCTGGAGCTGCTGGTTTCCTGTTTGGGGAAGTGGAAGTTCTTTTCACAAGGAACCCCAAGGCAAAATGTTTAGTGTTCCCCTATAAGCTCTCACTGCCTTTGTTCTTCACTTGGCTACACTCATTCCTGCTTTCTTCTCTTTCTCCAAAACCTCTGCTTCTGGAGGGTGCGTAAAAATGCCAGCTCAAATCTAACTGCCATCTCTAAAGGCACTAGACATTTTCTGCATCCACTGCTGCAAAGCTTTGAGTTAACAGGCATCTTTTCACAGATGAAGCCAGAATACCGGCTTTCCTCCTGGTATTGCATTAGGATTCCACATTAAAATGTATGCCACAAATAATCCAATGGCAAACTCACCGTCAACAGCCCCCAAAATCAATAAAAGCCATTCCACCACTTGACTCGGAGTGAAAAACCTTTCAGGTTAACAGAAAGCAAGGTAAAAGGTGACGAATGAACAAAAGGCAAATCTACCTTCAGACTTCTCAAATCCCAAAAAGGTGGCAAGGCTGCCTCGATTTGGCGAAGTCCTTCCCTTTTTTGTAATCATTGGGAAAATGCTACATGTGTGCTGCTTTAGTCTTATGCAAAACAGTACATTCTCCACAAGGCCCTGCCGCCTAACATCCTCTAAACTTGCTTCTTTTTCCAGGCCTGAATCTTCTAAATGACTAGACACATGTGATTTAGTGAAGTCATTCTGATTTCGCCTGGATAGAAATACCATCATAAAGTCGCTCTAATCCCATTAAACATGGATAACACTGAGTATTTTCTTCTCCACCTAGAACCCGATATTATTTCCAGGGTACCAATCCACTGTCAGTCTGTGTCTGAATGGATCTTCAAATAAATACTTAAATTCATGCTCAAAATATCATATCTCACCTTGTGAACCTTGACCTTTGGGAAAGACTTTGGACCAGTGTTCAGTTACTGTCACACAGTGGCATTCTCTGCAAACATGAAAGGGTTAAAAGCAGCCCGTCAACAGGCCTACAAGGAAAGGAAAAAAAAAAAAGACAGCATGTATGCCTTACAGCATCACTGAAAAGCATTTATGCTCATTTTCTAGAACAATACTGTTACCTTTTGGCCTTCATAATAGTCAGAAGTATCCCCAACACCCTTTAGTAGCTTCTAAAAGGAAAAGCACAAAACAGAACATACCCTGCAAGAGAGAGAAAAAAAAAAAAAGAAAAAAAAGCATGCAAAGTAGCAATCTCCAGCAACAAACAAACTACCATTACAAATCCATCAGTTCATTTTGGTTTGGTTTTGCTAAAAACAAGAGAGAGAAAGAGAGAGAGAAGAAACTGCATACACCAAGTGTCCCCACCCTGGCAAGTCACATTTTTTTTTCTCTCTCTCTCTCTTTAATATGGGTCATAAATCTCAGCTCCTTGTCCATCCCTTAAGCAAAAGAAAAAGGCAGGAAAAGCCCAAGTCATCTCAGACCTTGCAAACCTGCACAGTTTTCCCCCATCTTCTCTGCACAGAATCTTTCAGGACTCCATTAGTCACATACCAGTGCTGTGTGGTGTCTAAGTGTGCATTCACATACTGTGTTGGGATGGTACCTTCCTGCAAGCTCCTCTGCTTTTGGCTGCCATGAAGGGAGGAAGCTGCTATCCCACTGTAGTAGCTCAGTGACTGCATTGTGTTCAGGAGCTGATCTGCCTCAAACCAGTTTCAGCCGGTTCTGGTCACCCTACATAAAAAAGCTATGGCAACCCTCGCCGAGTTGCCAACAAGTCCCTGAAAATCATCAGCCCGGGGGGATCTCGCTGGGGGGCTGCCTTTCCCTCTGAGGTCTTCCTGAGGAGGGGCAAGGTCATCGTGTGTCCCCCACCACCGCACAAGCACACAGCCTTGGAAATGCCCACCTCACCAGCGCCCCAGAGCCCCTTGAGGGCCCATCCCCCCGCCCCTCCACCCGCAAGCCCACCGCAGACACTGTTGCCCCCTCCTTCTCCTTCCCCCACTTACCTCCCACAACCTGGCTCAGATCTTTGTGTACGTGTGTGTCAGTGTGTGTTCCCTGTGTTGGTGGCTGACAAAGAGCCCCCAAGAAAGCAATCTATGTGTGTCTGCTCACACGGGATGCGCTGGCTGCGGGAGCCGGCCTCGGCCTCCTGGCTGAGTGGTGCTGGCTTGTTGACCAGGCTCCTCTC